GTTAGCGCGATTTGTTCACGTTGATAGGTCTATTGTTGTAATTATAAGCGCGGACAAAAACCTATTCTTGCAGATGATGGCTTTTGAATGAAAAAAGTCGACTCTCTCTATCGCAAAGTGCATTTACAATTTGAATAACTGCGGCAATTTGTGTCTCTTATTGCGCAAAGCTAGAAATTACGAGTTTAATTTATTACTTCACGAGGGCGCGCGTGTATGTGTGGAATGAAAACTTCTGTTACTAAAAATAAAAGAGACAAATATCTATAGCGCATGTTCCATTATATCGAATTCTCGCTTGCTTCCAGACCGACAGCCTGCTTTCCAAACGTCCAAGCTTCGCAGCATCGGCCTCGGTGGAGACCGACCGTCTCCGAACTTTCTTATTCAAGATGTTTTGAGAGCAATTTAACTTCGGAGTCCGGTCGAAAGGTGCCAGTTCCAGAGCGCCGGAGGGCAAGCGGGATAAAACACGCGGAAGAAAGCAACTGACTGCCAGCGCAGCTCGTAATGCGGGGATCCGGTAGAACGATGGCTTGCGGAACGAAGTTGGGCAGTTCGTCGCGAGCAAATTAGACAGTTCTTCGAGATCGTTTTTCGGAGCGGCGCTCTTCATATTATCGCTCTTCTTTGAGAGACGACCGGCTGGGCACGACCGGTTCGGCTGTCCTAATCTACAACCAAGGTTGCCGCGCGGTTATGCTGGTGGCATCGCTGCAGGTGGCCGCCAGCAAATGCTGTCATGCCGTTGCCATGCCAGCCGGCGACCCGGAGCCGGCCGCTGGTCGCAAGGACCCACATCAGGCTCAGCCGTCGTTGCTGCTCTTCGCACGTAGGACTCACGCCGTTGCTGCTGCCGCCTCTGATCGTCTTGCTAATCCTGACAGGCCGTGGTCACGCGGCTTCATCTCAGCCTGCGACCCGCTACGCCTCGCGCATCGTCGAGACGAAAAGCGGACAGATACGTGGAATACTCCAGGTGTGTATCAATTTTTCTTGTCAGATATCAGAGCGAATGAAGGAGAGGGAGGATATAATAGAACGTATATATCTATGTAGAAGTATGTACATATATATCGAGCGATATAAACCCTGCCCTCTCGTTCTGACAGAATTTTCAGTATTCTGCAGATGCGTAGGACGAGTACGTAGTATGCAGAGAGACTCGCTCGCGGACACGGATTTGGCTCGTTGTAAATGGCGGATCGTGATTCGCGAATCGGCCCGTCTCCGGCAGTATTACGTCGCTGTTTCCGCGGCGCGTACGCCGAAAAGAGAAATTTATCGCCGGGTTGACTCTGCGGAAGAGCGGAATTCCTCTGTTTGACATCGTTCGCGGAGAAGCTCGAGAGCATCAATTATTTGTCATAACGTATTTTATATTGTTTTTTTTTTTTTTTTTAATATAATTTTTTAAACTAAAATTCCCTCTCACGCTCTAACTCTTTTGAAATTTTTTTGTGACATTTTTGTGTATAAAAAAAACAAGAGAGGATATCAAAAGTGAAATGGAATGCTTCATACACGCATACTCGTATAGGTTTGCTCAGTGCGTTAATCTTTCAATTGTAAATTATTATATTTTCGCACTATTTTATGTGTGTCTTGTAAATTTGATCTGCTTTAGATTTTTTGTTCATGTCTTTTTTTCTTCCTACTTGCGTTCTAGATCACAATGTTCTCAGATATCGATGACAGTAACAAGAACACCAAGCAATGCTAAAAAGAATTCAAATGCGGAATATAAAATGTTTTTTTGTTCGACGAGATGTTTAGAGTCACGCGTAGAATCTGCAAAATATGCGTGTCGAAACAAGAATCATATTTAGTATTTTTTTTGTTAACAACATTCTAGAAACGTTAGTGGGACGCATTAATCTTACAATTTTAATTACTTCCGTGCTTATTGTCTTTTTAACACCTCTTAAATTTGACTTTCTTGCACTAGTAGTCTTTGTATTTTTTGTTTCACTTTCTGTGTGCGCATCCCTCCTTTTCTCATCACTTCTTCCGTCCAATCTAACTCGTCGTTCTCGGTGTGCTCGACACCATTTTCTTTTTTCCTTCTCGTTGCTCAGCGACGTACTCTTTCATTAAATGCGTTACTGTCCTCCTATCACTGCCGCAAACTTCACAGACCTTTTCTTCGTTTTTCTTTTCCTGTGATGTCAGTCTCTCTCTCTCCCTCTCTCTCTCTTTCTCCTTCCACTTACCATTCCTTTAACTTATTACCGCACCTAAATCTTGCTGTCGACTCGATGGCGAAACTTTCTTTTGCTTGCTAAGTATCTTTCCCGACCGATAGCTCTTATATTATTTTTACATTTTTTGTTTACCCCCGTGTCAGAACGTTCTAATTAACCATAAACGCGTTCTGGTGCTGTTATAGCTTTTCTTTGTATAATTTTCTCTATTTACCATGTATACTTTTTCGAGAAAAAAAACAGCGAGATCGTTCTCGTCAAACGATAACGCGCAAAAGAATATCGCGGGAAAAAAACAAAAACTTTTATTGCGCACGATTCTGAAATATCAGAATTAAAATAATTAAAACCGCGAAATAAAACAAAAGATTTTTCTTATTTATCTCTCTTTTATTTCCGATACTTTGTGTATGTATAACCGTACGTCATCCCGAGCGGAAGTTAAAAGCGAGGTTCGATATCTCGATGGCACCCAACGACATTTTTCCAGGAGACAATCCGCTGGCAGCTCGTCTATCGGAGTTGAAGCGTTTTCACAACACCGATCAGTCAGAGCAGGCGAGGCCGATTTGACATTTACTGCGGGCATTCGCTACGCCGGATGGTAGACATCAATTACGTCTAATAGATATTCATATCGACAAGAGGCGGATCGATTGGACGTCCCGATGATTCCTCTGTCGCAGCGCTTCGATATCGCTCGCTTGTTCGCTCGTAATTCGAGTCGGCGAATTTCGCGTTTTGCGCGTTAAAGTATCCACACACCAAGCGAGACAGGGCTCGGCTTTTACACCGTCGAAAATAAATTCGCATCCGTGGGGAGATTGTGCGGGAATTGGGAAGCGGGGAGAAGCGGCCAATTTGACGCTCCGGTATCAATTCGCCGGACTGTTCGACAATAACGCGACCGATCCGACATGAAAGTAAGCTTTTATCCTCCCATACGCGTTATTTAACTTTCTGACGCTTGATATTTACGCGTCGTCGTTGTGCTCGAAATTACGAATGGTGCTTGTTCGAAATTGAGCTCGTCGAAACAGGATCGCGAACTCGTTTAAGCCCCAAAGCCAATCGTCCCATTCCGGAAATTTGTCTCTCTCTCTCTTCTCTGCTCTTTTTTCGCATGTATGTAAAGCGCGATAAAGTATTTATATATAAACTGCACACAAACTGTGTATCTTGATGTCGCAAAATTTTCACACTCTGAAGCAGCGCAAACCGAATAACGCTAAGAGAGTAAAGAGCGAAGTAACTCAAGCGTGTATAAGAGTGAGCCAACTTCATTCGTGGGATCCGTTTTTAAATACGCAGAGGCGTTTCTTACGTAAACCGGATCCTCACGTATTACGGACTCGATCCACCTTCGCGCTCAACGTCTCATTTTGTCGGATATATACACACAGTTCTTCCTCTCTCACGGAGAGAAGATCGTCGTCAAGGAGACGCGCGCGCGCGCGGATTACGCTATACGCGTATCGCCGATTGAAACATCCGCCGCGCGGATCAGACGCGGGGCAGGTAGTGTGTCGCTTTGGCGGGAATTGCGGGATCCACAATTTACCGGCCTTTTTTCGCTCCGACGGTCCCCGAGCGGGCGGATGGATGGATAACGAGAAAACTTTTTCGCTCAGGACGCCTCGTGGCCTTTACATTACGTCGTAACGTGCCGCACAACTCACGTTCGTCGTTTTTTTTTTTGTTTTTTTTTCCCGTTCGCTCTCTCACGCTCGTGCTTGCGCTCGCGTTCGCTGGTCCATTTCGCACGATCGAGTGCGATACGTTTTGCCGTAGGAAAACATTGCGCTGTCAAACGCGTTCTGGTTACACAACGACCAGTTTTCTCTTCCCGTGATATATAAGCAGAATTGTTTTGCATATCGCCGGTCGCGCCTCAGGTACGAATCGCTGTTGAATCTTGGGCGATTGATTATCATTACGATTGCTACTCGGAGGATGGCACGTTTTGTCCATTATTGAATATGATATCGTAACGTTTGGAATATTTATCAATATAAGACAGAGCTCCACTGGATGCTGTAAATCTTGTATGAATATTAAATTTGTGCGGAGAAATTTGGATCAATTTGAATCGCGCGTATATTATTCGAGAAGATACGCTATGTCTCGCTTAACGATTCGATTGGAGAACGGAAGTCGAGTGTTAAATATATTCATGTGTGCTAACAGAGAAATATACAGTTTTCCATTGATTTATATGCAAGTGATGGAAATAGCGTTAATCGCATTTTTGTTCCGCTCTTCGACAGGAAACATGCGAAAAAAAATATATATTTATAGGAGCGCATTTTAATAAAATTAACGCAGACGGCAGTTAAACTAGTTTTTTTTTTTTCTCGTATTTTCTGAAGCGCATACATTTGAGATGCTTTATATAAATTTATTCTCACGGCGCACAATAAGTTTCCTACAAAACCGCGTTGTAGAACAGATCTCGTTATAGAATTTTTTTTCGTTCGTCATCCAAATGTGCCCGTCGACTCGATTGGCATTGCAAATGCATTAATGTATGCTCTTACCGCGTACACGTCAATTCGCCTTTTTGTACCCCGGAAATCTTTTCTCTCCCGTCGTCGCCGGAATTTCAATCTTGGAAATATTTTTCTTCGGCCGAGAGAAGCGCCGTTCTTTTTTTTTTTTCTGCGTCTCTTATAAACGCCGCCAAAAAAAAACGTCGCTTTCTCTACAGTCTCTTATAATAAATCTCTCTCTCAGAGATTCTAATCGGCAATCCGCTCAGCTTCAATGCAACTTCACGGTCGTGTGCACACAGCTGTATCTTTACTCGTTTCCACGAACACGACAAATCTTCTTGTCTGTCTTTCCGGCCACTTTTACACGGAGAGAAATGCGCCGCAAAACAGCTGCTTCGCGACTTTGAAGCTTAATAAATTTCTGTTACATTTATGTGCCCTATAATTCATCGAGACGCATCGCCGACCGGCAAAAGCTTTCATATGAGAACGTTATTGGTCGCTCGGACCGTGTGCGCACACTGACGTAAATCCCCCGTATCTTCGCCATTTTTCCACTCAACTTCCTTTGTCGTGCGTCATAATTTATTACGCTTCTAAATTTACGTAATTTATTACTTTGCTTCAAATCACCTCCGTAATTAGTTTACAATAAACTACATAATTGTTTGTATCCACGTTTTATTTGTGCACAATCTGTGATAAGAACTTAAAATAATTATTTTCTCAACATATTAGGTTTGCCGGAAAATTCTGTCCGTTTTTGGAATAAAACAAAATACAAATTTTTCTTAATTTTTCAAAAATGGGATATACAAATTGCCCTCACGCTGGCAAGAAATCATTAATAATAATGGCAATTATATTATTTAATAAAGTTTATTGACGGTAAGAAAAATTTGTATTTTGTTTTATTCCAAAAACGGACAGAACTTTCCGGTAGACCTAATACTTAAGAACTCAACTCTACTTGATCGTACACCGAAGCGCTGAAAAATATCGAGTATATATTATTACAATTCAGAGAAAGACAGTAGCGGGAAATTGAACGCTCTTTTTTGCGATTTACTGCGATATAATCGCGAAAAACTTGAACCATAATTTTCCGACGCTAATTAATGCGAAACTCCCTACTCGCTACTATTGCAATTAAACATTATACGTGGAAATATGCAGAAACGCAGTATTAATTTGCTTCGTTTCAGCTTGCCGAGCCCCGTCCTTCACTCATCGTTGTTGCATCCGTAATTTATAACCAAATTTATTTCGCTTGTTATCATTTCTACACGCGAGAGATGAGACCTGATGAATATCCCTCTGGTGAGAAATGTAAACAATCCCTTTAGAGTAACAATTGTCGCGAAACAGATAAACGTATGCAAATTGTCGTACGGCAAACACGCGTACGTGTAATAACCGAAATAATAAATCGAGGTAAAGCGCGGCAATTAATATACCGTCTTTAAATAAACACAGAGCGGTACGTCGTTATATGTTTGTGCGTTTATTTAATATTGTTTACTTTACAAGAGCTGCTCTGTTCATACGCGCGCAAAACGTGTAATGCAGGTACACCTTTTATTAGCGCCATTTCGTATGGGATGCATCGCAGATGAAATCGACAGCACATCACTATCTAGTAACACCACCCAACGTGTTTCCATCTACACGCGCGCCAATAAATGCGGACCATCAATTTCACTTTGTATCCGGGAGAGAGATTTCGGGAGATAGTTTCCCGTCTCGTTATTCCGTCGCTCGCTTCTCTTTCGTACTGTCGAATACAGAGACAAAACAGAAAAATTAGACGATTTCACTTTTGCTCCCTTGAAACTCTTCAGTTTATCCCGAAGATACTCCTCAAAGTCCCGGTGTTATCGTTTTTGTTGCTTTCTAAAAGGAGAAAGATATCTCCGGAGAGAGAGAGAGAGAGAGAGAGAGAGAGAGAGAAAAAGGGATAATTACGACATCAAACTGCGCTTTCATTACAATCAAGAACGTATATACAAGCGCGTTGTGAATTGCAATTTGGAGCAACAAAGTTTTCGATTAATTCCGAGCGAAATTTTCCTCAAAAATTATCTCCGAGAGATGCTAATATTTCCTAGAGTCTATAATTTTTTTTTTTTTGGCGGATTCTCTCAATCTCGATCAGCGAGTTTTCCGAGCATGTTCGGATACGAAAAGTTTTTTCGCGTTCTGCAAATAATGAGAATTACGATCACGTCTGTGGGCGACTGATTTCGAAATAAAATTCCTTCCATTCGCCGCCGGAAGATTATAATAATTCACCGGGCACCCGTTACGCAGTCCGCACACGAATCGTTCTCAACGTTTCTTCCTCACTGCCGAGTGCGTCCGAAAGGAGCAGACAGAGGCAATAATCCACCTATAAGTCTCACTCTACGGTGCAGATAACATTATTGCGCGACCATTACTTCAAGTGAAAAGCATTCGATATATTGGAATCGCGAAAGGATTTGAACGATTTAGAAACATACTGTGTGTATATTAATTTTCACAACGTTGATTCTTTCATTTACAAACAAATTCAGAATTTCTAGTATATTAACATTAGAACTACCGAGTCGAGTCAAAACGACTGGTTTTAAATTTTGATTTAAAGATTACTCAAATTTATATCGCACTTCAGAAATTTTTTATGACGTTTTTACAGTATATAAAGAATTAAATTTATCAATTTGTCATAAAAGATTTTCAAACTGCAAAGCCATTAATTTGAGTAATTTTTAAATGAAAACTTACCACTAGTCTATTTTGACTGCTTCGGTAGTGTTAAATAAACACAAACAGCATAAAATAACTAGGTAAATTCAGAAATGTTATAATTATTTTTTTTTTTATAAAAAAAAGACTTGGTTATAATGTGTTATGTAATATAAATCTTTGTGTGTGTGTGTGTGATCAAACTTGCACTAAGAGTATAATTGCCTAATTTTCTAAAATGTTAGTATGCCTCTTAAGCGGGTGCTGACGTTTCATTATTCCAAATTGGCACGGTTAATGGACGCGCTAATGGTATTAGTGTAACGAAGTGTAACTCTCGTTTCAAAGGTTAGAATTCGTTATATATATATTCGTTATTCGTTATAATATATTTAGAAGAGAACATATACAATTATTCATATACACACAGACTGTTGCTGAAAGTTTAAATATAATAATCCAATCTAGTATTTAAATTTTGTTCGAATTTCAGATACACACATCGTTCGTTTTATAATGAGCGCTCTCGTAAAATTTCAAAAACCATTATGTTTCTTAATTAGTAATATTATCAAGCGCTCGCAAATTATTGATTTAGGATAATTGTATTTAATCATAATGAGATTTGTTATGTATAAATATCAGGTTTAGAATAAAAATATTCAATATTATATCTCCAATTGCGTCGAATCGATATTACATATTTTCAACTTCACATACGTGTGTCAACGCTATTCTAAATCGCATCTACTTCAAGAAAAGAAACGAACGGTCAGAGACATGTCATTTGCGTCACACTCGCGTATTTCCCGGGGCTATACGCGCAAAATGCAATTCAAAATTGTAGTTCCAAATTACATCGATTTTAACACGTTGGTCGGGTTGCGCTTAAGTAGTCCGTATATATGTATGAATTTCACGACCGTCGAACGGTTTAACGAGGAATTGTCGGTGTGGAATAAGCGGATCACATTGTCCGGATTAATATCTCGGATTTTCTCGCCTCAATCTATTTATATCGCGATTATTCTCGTGTCCATGCTTTAATTCATAAGCAGCTGTTCTTGCGTCATCAGATGCATTATGCATTGGAGACAGAGCATGCGCGAACTAATGTGTACGTATACACGTGCGGTCACGTGTCGAGATGTATAAATATGAGAGAGGGAGAGATTTGAGTAAATTCACGTGGAAACGGAACTGACGATTTCATGAAGAACGACGTTGCCATTACGATGAAAATTTTGAGAGAAAAATTTTTGATAACATATTCTTGCACGCAAATCTTTTCGCAGCGCGTTTTTTTGTTTTGTCGAATACCTGTGTGTTTTCATTTTCTTGCGATTTCGCTAAATTCTCGCGCGCATAATGGGAATTTACTTCCAACTACGTGATAGCTCGCCTGGGGAATAGGAAAATGAACGGTGCGATCGTAAAATAACAAGCTGCACCATGAACCGGACGAACGTGCTCGTATATATGGAATTTATTTTCGAAACTCTCTCTCTCTCTCTCTCTCTCTCTCTCTCTCTCTCTCTCTCTCTCTCTTGCACAGCTTTGATTTTACTTATTATTAAATCTTACGTTATATATAAATCTATTGTTCTGTAGTTGTAGAATTGATGTGCGTATCGTCTGTTTTATTTTTGATATTTTTATTCCCGAGACTCAATTACGATACCGTCAGTCAGAACAAAATTTGCAAGCTCACGCAGCAAAATTAATATTTCATCCCACGTCATCGCCATCATCCCCTGGGATTTTATGGGAGCTTCGATAAGCGTCTATTGTTATCGGCAGTCGCATGACGTGTATTTAACTTTTAATGCAATTGGAAGTGTCGAATCAAATAACTCTCATTTTTAGTTCTTTTCCCTCCCTCGTTCCTTCTCCCCCATCCCCCTTCTCTCTCTCTCCCTCTCTCTTTCAGCATTTTTTCGTCAATTCCTCCAGCAAGAACGCACGCCGGAACGTTAATAGAAATTTGTAATTTCCAGCACGATTCGTAGCACGGCCATTTCGATGAGCGGCCCTTTCCCAATTGCGCTCGGAGGTGCAATTAACGTCGGCGCGCGGCAAACGAGATTTATCGGTCCTTCTGACATAATTGCTTTCAAGATGCGACTGAATAGCAATTTTTTTCGCTCAATCGTGCTGCGCAAAATAGTTATAAACTCGAACATAAATATGAATCTCGTAATTAAAGATTTGTGATTAGATATTTGTGATCAGATTGTGATTAGATTTGATAAAATTCGCACGCACATTGGAGTGATAATATTTTCGATCTCTCTTGTAGCTCGCGTCACTTTTTCTGGTTCATTCATCTCTTTTTTATTCTTATTTGTTTCTGTGTTTCGATATCGTCACGTTTTTATATTTCATCAACCTTATTCTTTTTTTTTTTTTTTTTCCTAACGTAATGTTTTTAATCACCGGTGCGTTTAAGGTCAGTCGCGCGACGACGTGTCGACACAAAATCGCGTTCACACGAGCCGAGTATATTTTTCGATTCACTCGCGCGTAGCCGTTTCCAGCGCGTAGGAGATGAAATGGATATTGGGTGCGGCACTTCGGAGAGAAAGAAGAGAGAGCTTGTCTGGCTGTGGGTGGGTGTCTGTCTCCGTTTCGCTCGAAGATCCGCGTGTGCGGAAACAGAGAGTGATATATTGAGAAACGTTGCGTTGCGCGTATCTTAGAAGCGCAACGTCGAAGAATAACGGAAAGAAGACGCACGAGTTTACGTTTATCAATTTCAACGCTATCCACACACAAACCCCGATAGAATCAGCGTGATAAAACCACCACGCGATAAGGTCTGGGATGTGATAAAATTGTTATACATAGACATCAGTGTGTCTATATGTAAATGTCACGAGCTGTCTCTTCACGTAATTGAGTCTCTTGAGTCCTCTTATAAAAAGCCTGTGCTTTTTATATAAAAGTCCCGCCGTTCTAGAAATATCAGGTGTTCTATAAAAAGACATCCTTTTTGTGCGAGGGCTCTGAATTTACAAAGGCAACATTGACACTGCAGAATGTAGCTGTAGAATCGATAAAGCCGATGAAGATAGACATCGATGGTTGTGAGGACAGTTTCGAAATCGATAACAACACGTCGGAAGAAAGCCAACTCGTCGCTGACAATAAATTTGTTCTCTGTCGTTCTCGTTACAGGAATTGAACAGCCGGCACTTAGATCCTGTGGAAGTATTTCGTGGCATACCTTACGCCGCGCCTCCGGTGGGCGATTTAAGGTTTCGACCTCCGATTTCACCAATACCTTGGAACGGTGTCAAGCTGGCAGACACGTTCGGCGCAGTTTGTCCGCAAAACTATCCGGATCTTACCAATGACACCGCCGCGCTTTTGCAGATGCCGCCCGGCAGGTATCAACAGCTCAAGAAGATGACCGTTTTCTTGGCGAATCAGAGCGAGGATTGTCTTTTTCTCAATCTGTATATACCCGGAAGTGGTGAGCAAAAAACAAAGTGATTCACGCAATTATAATTACTTAACTTGAACAATTATTTTCAACAAAAACTACATTGAGAGACATGCACTTTCTCGCAATATTTGTATTTATTTATTCAAATACTAACTTTTGATTTTTCAATATTCAAATACTAATAACTTTAATGCAATATTTTTACAACTTGTTTTTCGAAAGAAGGCCAAAGTCACGTGATAAATAACTTTGTAAAAATGTAATGCAAAATTACGTTTTTCTATTGTCGTTTAAAGTACTTCGCATAAAGTCTCTTAGTTCTGACAGAATAAAAGGGATAATAAGTTTTAATGAAAGTCTTTTCTTTCTCGGGAAGAGAGATAGTAAAGCTACTCTATATCCAGCTAATGAAAGTTCAACTTTTACCACCTGCATAATTCATTTATTTTTCGCGCCTAATCATCATTAATTTGAGCGACGCAGTTGATTGCACGAAAATGGCACCTTTTAATTAATTCCCAATTAATATATCCCGTGAAAAACAAACACGTGTATTATGTGTGTTGTTTTTTGCAGTACGCGAACAAAGCTTTATAAAACTCTGTTAGAAAAACAATTTGTAACGTTTAACGGTTGAATAAAAACGCTCGTTTGTTGTAAACATACACAGTAAAAAATTGTGCGTCAAAATGTAGAACTTTTCTTGTGTTACGACGTTTTGATTATTACTTCAATGTAAAATTAACATAATACTGATATGTTATTATTTTTTTAATCTTTTCACGTGTTAAATTTATGTTAACTTCACAAATTAACATTTTTTGCATGTCATTTAAAAATGGAATATTGTTTAAGTGCTTTTAACACAATTATTTCAATTAATCTAGATGTCTCAAAGTCAATTTAACATACTAAAAAAATTTTAAAAATCTGTGGCCACATTGTACAAACTAAAATGTTTTATTAATATTTCTTACGAGTTACTGTAACTACTGTTTTGTGTAGTTTTCATTATTTTATATGTTATTTTTACATCACGCTTACAATCAAAATAACAAATATAAATGTGAAGTATTGTGTCAAGTATTTGACTTTACTAGTTTGTCAATAAGTGACTCGCAACGAATGAGATATTTTAACGTAAAATTTAGAGAGTGGACCTCCTGGAACATGCAAAAAATGTTAAAATTACCATTTTTTTTTTTACTGTGTAAGCAGGAAAAACAAACTTTAAATGGAGTTTTTGGTCAAGATTATACATTTGACGGAATCGCGAGTGCAATTAATATCGCGCGTTTGTAAAAATTATGCATCACAGAAAATAACATGTGTTGGTCGTAAAGTTTGCAAAAGCGGATGGCATCAGTAATTTGAGCGAAATTCTCAACTGCATCATCTATCGGAGTTGGCAATTTATGCGTCCGCACAGTATTACGTGGCGACAAGTTGCTTCCTAAAGTAATTAGTCCTAAAGTAATTAGTACCTTTATTCGGGATAGTATCAGCTCGAAAGCGGCCGCATGCGTTACGTCGCGCGCGTTGCAAGGGAAAGCGCGCGCGACAAAAGATAAAGGCGAATTTGCAACGTAAAGAGCGTCCGTAAGTCTGTGCTGTAACCTCGGTCGAGAAAAAGAAGAGAGATACTGAGAATTACTTGAGAGCTATGCGAGAGCTGGAGGAAACAGAGAATACAGAGATGAGAGCGGTAGCAAGAAAGTTGCGAAAAAGAACGACCCTCGATCTAATTTTCGTTACAAAGAATTGCAATCCATTGAAACAAAGAATTCTCTACTATATTGAGGAACTTCAATTTTTTTATCGCGCAAAAACGATGAAAACGTCGTCTACTTGCATCTCTCGTGAGGTAGGTTATATTCTTTCGTTTTCGAGCGCGACAATTAAAACGCAATTAATGATCGTCGTAAGAACTGCTTAATAATCCGCAAACGCATGCCCTATGTATTAGAACGTGCAACTATCGATCGAGACGGGGAGAGACGTGGTTGCAACACTGTCTGTATGTCGAGTACGCTCGTTGAGATGATCGATACTAATTGGGCGAGTTTTACGAGTTAGTGGCTAATCAAAGTAAGATCGCGGCGCGATTGAATCACTAACGCTAACTACGATGATTGCGAGCGCGCGTAACTCGGCAGCGCAAAGCGGTCTCTCACACAGTGGTTTAGGATGATATCAAGCCAGACAGAGTAATTCAGCGCAGCATAAATCGTGTAACAGACAGACGTTAATTAGTTGCCATACAGCTGATAGATTAAACGCCTGTCTACAGATTATCAATTACTACTTGGTAAGACGATTAATTGTTAAAAGCGACTTTTAATTTTAAAAAATCTTTTGCTAAAAAACATGTCGCGCGCACAGAGACTTTCTAGAAAGAAGATATGTGCTAAATTTGAAAGACTCGCTAACACGAAAAAGCTGTCAGATTTAAAAGAGAGAGAGAGAGAGAGAGAGAAAGAGAGAGGCGCGCACAAATCTATAAAAGCACTGTATAATCCCACAGCCTTATTAAAGCAAGCTTCTCGTTTTAATTCACGCTTCATCCCGGCTTACGCGACGCTCTCGGTGTAAAAATTTTACATTTGCCGTAAAAAACAAGCGCATTAAAAAAATATATATTCGTTTTATCGGACCGATTTTTGAACGCAAACCCATTTACGATGTTCGTGTAACGCACTCGGACAAAAAATCTATGATCGCGTAAAAAGTTACATCGCGCTGTACGACTTGCAGACGTGTGTAAATAAATTTCCGACTGCTGACGACGACGACGATCGATCGATGTGCTCCGAGCAAGCGCGGACGAACGAAGTTACTTAATAAAAGCGCACCGTGGCATCCGTCTTCTTCGGGAGCGAATTAGTGCCTTTGACGCGCCCATGTGGTTTTCCGCTCGAAGCTGCAGTTACGTGCGACGAATCACGATGCGACGATTGCATGTCTCCGGCAACGATTCGAGAGCGTGACCTTTCTCGCTTGTACTCTAAGTCTTGGAATTCTTGACGCAAATTACATTTCATGCTATCAATTGCTCAAGCGACAAGTGACGACTAATTATACGATTTTAATTTGTATTTATGAAGCCGTTAAACATTTTTTGTAGAGTTAGAAAGAGAGAGGAAACAGAAGTCTAATATTTTTTTTAATAGTCTCATGAAAAACTGCATTCAAAACTACAAAATGATTAAATTGAAATTTGTGAAAATCAAAATGTACGTCTATATAGGCGCAAAACGCATTGAAATGATTGAAATTCGCTAGACGAATTCAGATGTTTTGCGACTGTCGCTTTCGAAGAATAAAAGCGAGAAAACATAATGCTTGGTAAGCGATAATGTCGTGCGAGTATTACGAGAAAGCTGGATCTGTCAATGAAAGGTTTATACGGATAAGAGGTTTACTCGCCGAAGAAAATGGAAGAGCGGAACAGAGGTACCATATCGCTGCTTGCTGCTGCTTTCAGGATCTCGAGGACTGGAGGCGCCGTACGCGGTGATGGTGTACGTGCACGGTGAAAGTTTCGAGTGGGGATCGGGTAACTTGTACGACGGATCGGTTTTGGCGAGCGCCGGCCACGTCATAGTGATCACTCTCAACTATCGTCTTGGCATTTTAGGTACGTGCCGCTGCTTTAATCAGCTATCCTGCATGCCTGAAAGCATTTTCATTAAGCAGACTCTTTGACGTAACATTCCACGATCGCGGATAAAGAAATTCCAAGATGAGCAGATGGCGTTTGCCTTATTTTACGCCGTAAGTTACAGATTCTAGTTTATAATTTTTGTTTCTTTTGTTTCTAGAGCATTTTCAACATTCAGAAATACATGTTTTTTTATTTTGTAATTAATTTGTAAAAATAAAAACTTGTGCGTATCAAAATATCTTATTTATTTGTTGTAAATATTGAAGTTTGTTTTTTTTATTTTTTAAATAAAACACTATCTCTCTCTTATGTTTTTCTGAAGTGAAAACAATGTCACCAGCAATTAACACAAAATCTATGTTTTTCTTTATAAATTACTTTTATATACAATATATATATATATGTACGTATATATATAATAATCATATATATATTTATACATATCTTGTATATAAGCCTAGATATATCATTACCTTTATATCTAGCTGTATATGTTTCGAAATAGAGAGATACTCCATAGAGACTATTTACATACTTGAGTCAATATTGGCATTTCGAAGACCCACAAATGCACTTCTCTATTGCGAATCTACCAAGTCCGAAAATATCAATTCTACCTATTTACTTGCCAAACTACCTTGAATTATGACTTATTAGCGTAACAAACGTTTACATTCTTCGTTCAACTATTGCTGCAATTAAGAAAACAAAAGTTAAATTAAATTTTTGTACTTGCATAGTTTTTGCTTTTTACTAAATTTGTTTTTTTATATAAAATCTTTGGAAGATCTCGTATTCGGAATATTATTTTTTAAATATTATTTTTTTAATATTATTTGTATTGTTCTGAAAATGGCAAGATTTTTGTCAGGCAAATTCGCACGAGATTTAATTGAATGTTGCGAAGGAAGAAAGAGAGAAAGATATAATAAAGCAGGAAACAATATTATCCAATCTACGAGGGGTGAAAGAACGTTGAATTGCAAACGGTTTGGCTTTCTTCCAGGGTTCTTGAGGACTCGTCCGTTTCCCGACAGAACGAGCGGATCCGGTGGGAATCTGGCTTTAAAGGACATTACGATGGGACTACGCTGGGTGCGTGAAAACATCGGCGCCTTCGGCGGCGATCCAGAGCGAGTGACTCTAATGGGCCATGACACTGGAGCGGCGCTTGTGAATCTGGTGTTACTCGCGCCTTATAGCAAAGGTAAAAGAGACAAATTACTTAAAAACAAAAAACTATATTTTACATAAAAGAATTTTAAAAATAAATTTATTTATTCGATAAAGAGATAAAAAAAAAAAAAAAAAACGAAAGAAAAACTGCTTGCGATTTACGTATTTTACGATACGGAAAAGAGCATTTGTCTTTTTCACGTCTCGCTCAATTTCGACCGATCGATGGATACCTTCGCCGGGCTATATTGCTTTCGTTCCTTTCAGTACGGCTATCCAACCCCCGTTGACAGCTTAATGCCACTATTGTACCAGGCTTAACAGTTTATCGGTCATTCTCGCGCCACGATGAACCGTGGTAATATATAAAATAAATCAATTCGATCGCGCGATAAACACCGCGAGTGTTGAGAGCAATATTTATCTGTCCAATATCTTATCTAACATTTACATGAACACACCGCTATAGCGTTATTAATAACACGGTTGTTTAACTGCAATAACAAAAAGAAACACAGAAGGAACAATGAAAAATAATTTATTATTCATAATGTCGGGATCATCATTGCATACGTGAAATTCAAGATGATCAAGCGGAGAAAAGTTATGCGATTATTTTGATCGATTCCGTCGTATCGGGGGTATGGATAATACTGCCGAAAATCGTTCAGTGAGAAATAGGAAGGGTTCCTTTCAGATATAGAAGCGAGGTAGAGACGTTATTTGCAGGACTTTCGGTAGATTAATTGTCCGGAGATTAGTTGGCAAAAGTCTCTCGTGGAGGAGACAACCACTGAAGGGTTGGTCCGTCCTCTCAAAAAAACATCACCCATTGATCCGTGCACGGGGTGACAAATTGCAGGACTCCACTTTATTCGATGAGGGAACGAGAGACGGGCCTTCTCCTTTTTTTTTTTTTTTTTTTTTATCGTCGCCGGACAACACCAGCTGAAATTGAACGCTTCCCCGAGCTTTTGTCCTTTAGAGGTGGCGCGCACGCGCGCGCGCGGAGAATATTTCCCCCGCAGGAGCTGCTCAAGCGGCGAGCGCGGCACAAAATTGCGCAATAATAAAAATGCATGGATCTCGGGATATACGTCGCAGCCGCGGGGGAACAAAAGCAGGAAAACGCTAAAAGCGTCGTAAATATATCGCCGCGCGATAAATCTACACGCGAATGCGATTACGGTGTGATATAGTTGGATGCTAATTCCGCGCCAATCAGGCAAATTATGACTAACAGTACTTGCATGGCACATTGTTCTGATACCAATGCGCTCTTTGTATAATCAACGGTCAGTATCTCTCATTCGAAATTTATCTGCTTGAATTGTAATCAGCCTCGATAATATAGATTTTCAAGAAATATCACACGTTTGTAGAAAATCGATCAATCACCGCTTGTATACAATATTAATGAGTGTTTTAAAAAAAGCGTAAAACACATCTTTAGCACTTTTTTCTAACATTTTTATCTTACATATATATAATATTTTATAGTTTTTTATCCTAAAAATAGCTACTCTTATTTAAATCAAAATTAATAGTTATTATTATATATACACAGTAAAAAATAAAATGTTAATTTTAACTTGAGTGAACCTCCTGGGACATGTAAAAATGATTAAGGTAACTCATTCGTTATTTGTTACTTATTGACAAACTAGTAATGTTAAGTAATTGATAATTTACAATATATTTGTTATTTTGACTTTAAGTGCAAGAATATAATAATATATAAAATAATTAAAAATATGGAAACATAGTTACATTTCTTACGAGTTACATGTAACTCGTAAGAAATGTGCTTCAAAAAGAACAACTACATTTCTTACGAGTTATTGTAACTTGTTTTTTCGTGTAATTTTTAATTATTTTATATGTTATTGTATTCTCTTACATTACACTTAAAGTCAAAATAACAAATATAAATGTAAATTATCAATTACTTAACATTACTAGTTTGTCAATAAGTAACAAATGACGAATGAGTTACCTTAATCATTTTTACATGTCCCAAGAGGATCACTCAAGTTAAAATTAACATTTTATTTTTTACCGTATACACTAAAAACTTTTTAAAATACTTAAACGTGAGAAAATGCGTGTTGCATAACTTAAATATTGATGTTTACGAATTAATCATATAACATTGAAGAACTGTGCTCGTTTCTTTGGAGAATTTCTTAGATACGAATTCTTGAAAAATAGTGTGTCATCGTCAATTGCGCTCGTGCGTCAATAGAAAAAGTCAGAAGCGTAAATAGCCGCTCAGACAGGCAGAACGAAGCGCTAAGAAGAGAACACGAAGGACAAGTAATGTGTCAGGAAGAGAGAGAGAGAGAGAGAGGGTTCCTTTCGGCCGGATTCGCTCTAACGTCTGGCTATTTCCCGGACCTCCGGTTGTACCGGAAGCAACGCAAACAGTTTACATCTCGAGGAGAGAGCATCGCTCTCAGTTGTGCATTCCTTCCGTACGCCGTCCTTTCTCTCGAGACTCAGCCCCGGCACCGGTTTCAGAACGGTAAAGCCAGAGGGGCAGAAAAGCCCTCGGGAAAACTGCTTTTCTTCGGCGTCCCGGATGCCGTGATCGTCGGTTTTTCCCTCGCCGCACACTTTCCGCTCTTTCGATTCCAACGTCGACGCTGCCGTGGTGGTTTTCGCGAGACCAGGTGCGATTCTGCACTTTTTGCCACCGGTCAGAGATTGCAGGTAGCGGCAGGATATTCTCTCGTAGGAGAAGGAAATGCGCAAAACGAAGCTATGGGCACAGCGGCAACGAAAATATATACCGAGCTGTAATTCGTTAGTAAAAAAATGTTGAAATTGTTTACGTGTAACGTGTATTGTTTCACATATGTATAAATATTATAAATATTATAAATATATATTCCAGAAATTGTTGTATTTTTTGGAACATTTGTTTTAAGATTTTGACTGACCATTTGGTCAGTGATCGTTAAAACACAATAGATTTTTTAAAAGAATTTTTGGTTTTATTTTGACAAACGTTGAGACGTTAGCTTCTTTAGTAGATTCACATGGATACACGTGGCAGCTTAATATTTCAATAAAATAACACGAGCGGAGGTGGTCGGTGGTCTGGGATGTTAGGCCGTGCAAAGTTAACAGAGGAAATGAATAGAGAAGTGTCGATGAGAGTTGCCGGCCGGCCGGTGCGAAAATATTAAATAGACTTCTATATATTGTGATATACCTGTGCAGATTATACGAGAGATTGTACGATATCTACATCTCGTTCGTGATGTGTGTTCGGTGATTAAACATAGCGCGTGGTATAATAATAAAGTTTTGGATTAAGGTTGCGGCGCGTTAAAACCACGCAAAATCAATTTGGAATGTTACGATTCGATTTCGACGATTTTTTGCGAGTATTCGCTAATGCGCAATTTTCTTTTTGCCCAATGTGTATTTTGTTGCATTCGATACGATTACACGAGAGAAGATCGCTAATGGCTTTGTCTGGCGTTGCGTAAAAAAGTTGCAAAACGCTTTGGTTCGCCTCTCTCTTCGATATATCGAACTAACTGTCGAGGGTGTACGATTGCTTTTCCGCCGCCGTCGTCGTTGCCGCTAACGCTGCTGCTTCGTCTGCCTTCGACGGCGGAATTTCGATGTCCGATGATAAATGAAGACCCCCGCGCACAGTTCCACCACCAATTCCGATTGCTCCGCCGTAGACATAAACGTTTCGTATTACGTCGATTTCTCGTGTAATTCAGAAAGTCACTTCTGACATTCCCCCAGAGGTGGTTAAAACACGCGGCTTGCCCCTTTGCCTTTACTCCTTTCTTCAATCCCGAGAATACTGTCAACGTTACGTATCATCGCTCGGAAAGAGACAAGAAAAATAAGCTTCTTATAGCGCGCGCAGGAGGCAATCTCGATTTATCGTTTTTCCTCTCGCTGTAATTTTTTATGAGCGAAGACCCGAGTGGTGCAGCACGTCTCGAAATGTTCTTCTCTTGCACGCGCGCGCGTCTCTCTATAATGTGCGCTTGTATAGATTCTCCGAGATCCTTGGACTTCGAGACACACACCCCGACGCTGCTTCTTCTGGAGCTATTTCTCTCTTTCTATACCTTACCGTCCGTTTCTCCGATAGTTTGACGGTTCTCACGAACGAGAGATACGAGCGAATGGCTTCGTGAGTAATCAAGAAGGCAACCGAGTATGATTCCCGGCAATTGTCTGATTCGCTGCACCTAGAAAACGTATATAAGACCGTTCACGGTTATCTCACGGCGACTCGAGGATCACCAGCGTTTCGGATGATGTTTGCGCGAAATAAAGATGCGCCGTTCAACGAGATATATTTTATTTTCCTGGCTATATCTCTCGTGAGGAAGGAGAGACATGAAGAATCACAAGCTTTATTAGATGAATACGAAGCGGAATTCGATAAATTGTACAATATTTATAAATTCTTATGCAAAATAATTGGAAATGATTTTTTGTCCTTTAAGGTCGTCGATCCACAAATACGTTGAGTTTCTAAAATTTAGCTACAAAGTTTTTTAGTATTGATATATTTTTACGAAGATTAGAGAAAGAGAGAGAGAAAGAGAGACACGTATATCCGCGAGATTCGAGTTTCGTGAGAGTGTAGCGTGGCAAGAGCCAAGCGCCCATGGAATACAACACATAACAATAAGTCATAAAAATAGCTTCCAAACAACGTTTCCACCTCCGTCTTCCGTTACGCACGGTACATCCCCTTCGTTCTATTTTGCAGTTCGTTACCGACAAAAATAACTGGGAGAGAAAAACGCCTCGGTGACGTAAAAAAAAAAAAAAAAAGAAAAAAAAACGAAGAAATAGAGACCATTCCCGGATTTTCGAGAACCACGTCGTTATTGGTCCCACGTACGATCGCACGGGTGTGGAATTGATTTCGGCGTGTTACTCTGTCATCTCCATGATCGGTAAAATCGTTTTTTGATAGGCTACTAACATACACAATTTCAATCCAGCCCAATATTAAACAATTTTCCCAGAGAAGTTATTGAA